TGTCTCCTGAACCGTCCTGACTCCTTGACTCCTGAGTCGGAAATCCTGAAAAGATTCTTAGGCCGGGTTGGTTTGGTGGTTTAATAATAGGGTGGGCACCGGGTGGTAACCGACGGGGACTGGCGCCCCGAATAAAGACCGCAAGGCTGCGGACTTGGACGGGAGAGTGTCAATCCAGGAACGCAAAATCCAGTGTCTCCGGACTCCGGACTCCGGAGCACGTAAATTTTGTGATAGGGAGACAAGCCCCTTGTAGGACACATGTATGATCCCCGGTCCCCCTGGCAGGAGTCAGGTTCTTTGGCTCAGCGCGCTTCCTGCTTCGTGAGAGTCTGGACTCTGGTAACGCAAGTGTGCCCTTAAACAGCGGTGTGCCCTAAAATAGGCACGCGGGGGACGGGTAGGGTTAGGTTGGTGGTTAGGGTGGGTTCGGGTGCGGAGCGTGTAAATGGTTGGGTTAGGGCTTTTAGTTTGTTTGGTCGGGGTCTACGGATCTTTGGGCACACTTGAGTTTAATTAAAATACCAGTATCTTCGTGAGTCATGACTTTACCAGCCCTGATTTTCGCCTTTTCCGTCCTTCATGCTGATGCAGCCATCATTACATGAAGCATTTACTGCTCAACACGTTCTTGTCGAACTTGAAGGTGTGGTGGACGGTGCCAGTGTGAATGGAGCGTTGGAGTCTGGAAGTGGTTGTTTCCGACGTGGCAGTACTAATGCCAGTAATGGCAGACCCAGCTCGAGTAGGGTTTCAAGCAGCAAATTGAAGTTAATTCAAGGGGGCAAGGGGGTGGCAAAGTCCGCAACCGAATGCCACCACTCCAAGCAGCAATGGTTTTCAGGGGTTTGGTGAAGATCGTTTCCAGATTAGATATCCAGCCGTCCCGTAAGAGTTGATTCCCGCTGAGAAAGGTGTGCCATCCTGCACTTGCAATAAACCACAAGTTAGAGCTTGGGTTGTTGGTGGCCGTGGGGCTGTGAAGTCGTTGGTAAGCTGAGACTTGGTTGCTCAAACAAGAGGGTAAAGGACGAGAAAGCAGGGTTTTTACCAGGTCGAAAAGACGGAACCCGTGGATGAGCTCCTAACACTCGGCACGCCGCACTTTCATTATGGATTCAAAGCTCAGCCATCAAGAAAAAACACCGTCAGCTAGTTTATGGGGGGCACTGTTTGGGAAGTGTTGGGGCCGGGGGGGTGCAAGCATGGAGGATGCAGAGGGAGAGCTGAACCCCCAGAGACAGAGGCAGCGGCTCACGCGAAGGCTCTCGATGCTTTCAAAGTTTGCAGAAGGAAGTGGGATGGGGGGGAGGTCAGTTCCTCAAAGCCAGTGGAGATGTTTGAGCTGAGGCCATCTCTTGTTTGTGGCTGCTGCTTGACATTCTGAAGGATGGTTGCATATTTGCTTCCTTGATAAACTTCTAGTGAGTTTAGGTTTTCTTCAAATGCTGCAAGACGCCAGGGGCACACATATGTGAACATCTTTGGATCTGGTGACGTCCCATAGGCTTGCAGTCGTGTCTGTGATGTTGAGCCAGAGTAGAGACGGGGTTGCGACCCTCTGTTGAAATTTGAAACACCAAAGCTCTGATCAACTTGCTTCTTGCCTTGAATGTAAGCTCTTCAACTGAACATTCCTCACCTCATTCCTCAGAACACCCTGCACCTACCTAAGCTGAGATGGAATGATCAATGAGTTCAAAAGTCCTTATACCTGAAAATGGTTGACGCAGAAAGAGTGTCCAAAGTTCATTCTGACCAGAGACTGCAAGTTATGCACAGATGTCCTACTTTTCCACCTTGACGACCACGTATGTTACTGAGCAAATCACCGTGCCCATGCAGTGCCGCGACAGCTGTCACGCAGCTGCATCTCAGTTTCGAGCGACCCGCCCCGAGTGCCCACCTGAGAAACATCCCCACCCTGTCCTCTGAGGAGATCGCTCTCATCCAAACCAGCTGGGCTAGGGTCGTGGAAGTGCATGGGATTGGCGCCATCTCGCTGTTCTATGTGAACTTATTTGCACTGGCGCCCCATCTGGAAGGACTGTTCAAGAGGACCAAGTGAGTGCGTTCACACTGTTGCGAGGCGTCAACGACCCGTCTTGAGTGAAGTTGTTTGCACCGGCGGTATACAGAGGGAAAGAAGGTTTAAGAGCTTTGAGGGTTTTATGTACTCATAGCATCAGGACTCGCTGTCAAAGAGTCTTGCATTCTGAGCACAGAAAAGTGATCTGGATCCAGAAAGACCACGCAAGCTTTCTTTCATATCAACAGACATGCACTGTTCTCCCCCGACAACTCCTTGCGGAAACTGAGTCCGTGCTGTGAGAATCTGTCCAACTCTTAGTTTGCGGGGAAGTTGAGTGGGAGTGTAGTTCTTTGAGAAAGACATGTGAAAGAGTACCTAAGCGTCGTTTCTTGTCATGTGAGACTGGATAATGGATAGCAAGCTCCGCGTTCCAAAAGCGTAAGGTACAATCTGCAGGGGTATTCAAGAGGCAATGTTCCAGGACATGATGGTCACCCTAATCGATAAGCTGCACGATTGGGAGTGGGTCGTGCACACGCTCGAGGCGTCGGCCATTCGGCACCTGCGCTACGGCGTATCCGCGTCCATGTTTTCTCCTGTCGGCGAGGTAAGTGTTGAAGTGTTTCTGTGTTATAACTGTTTGAATAATGACTGCTCTTGTGATTCAAGTTCTGGGGTTTGGGGCATGGATGGTCAGTTCAGACTTTGGGCGCATGCGCTGCGGCACACCCGCGGTTCTGCTCGCCCCAGTCGGCGAGGTATTGTTTGGATTCTACTGCCTGAGAGATTCTACATGCAGCCTGCACAACTATCAGTTCTTTACTCTCCAGCGGATCAGACTGAGGCCTGTATTTGCGTTTGGTAAGTCGGGTGTAGAATTTCGTTTCCTGACCTTGCTCAATGAGAAGCTTAGACTGTCTCTGCAGACCTCCTGAGGTCCTCAACCGTGATCAAGATTGACTTCGGCATGGGCAAACGAAGAGCGAAGTAACTTTACTATGTGATTTGCCGGTGTTACGGGAAGACGCCCACATAAGGACATGAACGGGGCTCAATTGATCTGATCATTCCTCCAGGGTAACGTTAATTTTATACTGGAAGGTAATTGAAGAGGCGTGACTTTCCCAGAGAAAGAAATTTAATCCGCACATGATTTGCAAGGTGGAATCTATAATCCGCAGGCTGCTGGATTTTGACCGTTTGTCAAATCCCTGGCGAATCTGATGGAAGTCTGCTTCCAGTCTGAGGGGACCAAACACCCCAGGTACATAGGTTTGCATCCTGAACCATGTGCCAGCAGCCAAAACTCTAATTGCCCCAACCCGAAAATTGGTGGAATCAAAGTCCGAAGGGTCTTGTTTGTAACCCTTGAATTTTGGGTTGGGGCAAGAAGGGGTTTAGGAGCTATACTGATTGAGGAAGGTTAACCTTGCACAATTGCTCTAACTACTTGATAACTAACCACTAGACCAGACCCAATCCGCAGGCCAACCGTGGTCCCCCCAGCGCTCGGGACACTCCATAACGCAATCTAGACCAGTCCATCGACGCGAATTCATCGGACGGCGCGGAACATGGGTCCGGCTCTCTGAGTGGGGTTTGGTCCCCCGGCTTCCAGTATATCCTCATCAATCTCGTTGTTGCCTACAGGCGCTCCTCAAAACATTGGACATGGGTTTGGGGGACTACTGGACTCCCGCAACAAAGGCTTCCTGGGTGAAGATGTGGACGGCAATCGTTGCCGTAAGCTGCCCTTCTCTCATCTTCTTTCTGACGTCCAACGTTTTCTGACCGGCTCCACCCGTCCCGCCAATTGTGGAGTACTCAAGATAACAAGCTGTAAGTGTGAATATCAATTCTGTGGTACAACCGGTGCCTCCCATCTACACAAGGAGGGTTTGTCAACCACTTCTTATTCCTCTGCACCAGCCTGGCCGCGTTGTTTGAAGCAGGAAATTAATTAGTCCAATAATCTCAGTGCGCGCCCTTCGAGTTTCTAAGCTTAAGAAGTGTTGACCCTTTATTAGGTGCCCAAACGGTTCTCTCCGTGCCACTTATGATGCGGCACTTGGCTCAGTCACGAGAAGCAACATACCGGGTTCATTGTTTGACCTGCTGACATCATTGGCTGACATTGCTGTTGTGAGCCGCGGGACTGCTGCTTATCTGGTTATGCCCAGTCCCGCTTCCTTCACACCAAGTCAGATTAGTCGCAGACCTTGGACCCTTCACTTCTTCTCCCGTGGTTGATGGAACCGCTTGCTTCCGTTAATCATATGCCAGCGTATGCTTGAGCAGGCAGCCAAACGTTGCGGTTAATCGCCTTGACCCAGAACGGTTGAACTCGCAGGCGGCCAAACCCGGCACTTAAGGCCCGTAACCTAGAACGGTTGAGTTCCTCTCTCCGCAGGTCATGTCGGCGCATCTGAGGGCTGACGGCCTGACCCGCGCCGTTACGTGCAACAGTTTCGCTCTAGTCACGGCCGAAGTGGACCCAAAAACACTTTCCGTTTTCGCTCGGCTGATCCGTACTGTGTTCCGTTTCCGTTCAGGTCATGTCGGCGCACTTGAGGGCCGACGGCCTGACCCGTGCTGTCGCGAACAACAGTTTCGCTCTAGTTACGGCCGAGCTCGAACGCGCGCCTCGGGGGGAACGGGTCCGGTGGATGCTAACCAAACTGCCCAGCGGGCTGACCCCCCTGCTCATGGCAATCCGCGACAAGAAGGTTCGCATCGTGAAGTGAGTTCTGCGCAGCTCAAATCTGCGCAATCGAAGTTTGTGCTACTGTAGAGTCGCCACCTGCTTTGCATCATCCTGAAAAACCAATCGCGCAGGTCGTATATGCTTTCTGACATTCTGGCAGTCGGCGCGCGGCGACCGCACCGGTTACCCCCTCCTTTCAGATCTTGCGCAGCCGCATTTGCTGAAGGCTTCAGAACACGGTCAAAAGGCCGTTAAGAGAAAATGGAGTGACGCGCAGGTACATGCGTATTATATTCTGGCCATCGGCGCCCGCCGATCGCACCGGCTACCATCACCTTGCAGAAATTGCGCACACTCGATCGCTAACGACATTGAAACATGGTTCAATGAACATTAACAGAAAGCCCGTTAACAAGATACGGGTTAACGCGCAGGTACATGCTGTCGGATATTCTGCATGGCCCCATTCTGGCCATTGCACCGGCTACCACCACCTTTCAGAGATTGCGCAGACTTAATCGTTTTCAAAGGCCCCGGACAATTTTGGTTTAAAAAGGCCGTTAGTTACGGACTCACGTGAAAGGGCCAACGTGCAGGTACATGCTTTCGGATATTCTGGCCATCCGCGCCGACCGTACTGGGTACTACTACGGCCGCGCTGAGCTGTGGGCCGCACACCCGACGATCGTCGGCGAGATTGTCGAGAACGTCCCGACGGCGGTGAAGGAGTTGCTGGACGGCTGCTACTGGCAGAGCGGCCACTCCTCGGGGGGCCTGAGACGGGTGAGTTGTCAACCCCCCAATATGGGAAACGGGATCATAGGAGCATTCAGCAGGGGGGCTGAAATGAGTGAATCTTAGTCCACAAATGTGAAGACGTTCCTGGCAGAGGGGCCATTCCTCGGGGGGCAAGAGACGGGTGAGTCGTCGACCCCCCGGAAATGGGAAGAGAAATCAAAGGGACGAGTGCAAGGGGCCCGTTGAAGAGCAACATTCTGGGCAACACCTGAATGTTTCATCGGGTCTGTCAAAAGCATGCTTTACAGGATCTGCTTTTGGTAAAGGGAATGCGAGCGAGCAGCCAAAACCTGTAGGTGCTCCTTCGATCTGCACGTCGTGTCTCGACGTCCGTTGAGAGTTTTATTTAAGTCGATTCCCTACAGTGAGAGCAGAAGGGTGCATTGAAGTGGGCTACGGCAAAATTAACCAAGCCGTTTCATCTGCCTTTTTGTTGGCAATCTAAACGCTTTTGAATCAAAAGCGCATGGGCGTTACCAAACGCTGGTCGCCAAATGGGTCCCCCAACTCGAAACATTGCCCTTTGACATGAGAAAACCGGGAGCGCAAAGCCAAGATGGATTACCTTTTCCGCTTACTAGTTGATTGTCGCAGGCAGCTCAGTTTCTTGAATCAACCGATTAGAGCGCGGCTGAAAGCTGCGAAGTGCTTCCTTGTCAGTAAACTAGGCCTGGCGTCTACTCTTTCGAGCCCATTCTTCCTAGCAATGCAATAATCGAGTTTGTACATTGAGAGCCCTGTAAGTCGCGAGCCTTGGACCAGCTCGATCAAGAGACACCGTCGCAGAACTTGCAAGGCAATCAAACCTCGAGGCGTTTCAGAATGTCTCTTCGCTTGAGACTTTAGGTATGTATTCTCGAAGTTACGGGCAGGTCATCAAACATTGAGAGCCCGTCTGGAGAACCTCCCGTCACGTCTTCATAACGCCCACAAAACAAAGCTTGCCGCACATTTCTTGAAGAGTCGCGAGCGTGTAGTCCGAACACTATTCATATGATCCCGGCGCCTCCTCGAGAGTTAACCAGCGACCGATTCAAGGAAACCGTAACCAATTTATCTCAAAAGAAATTCGACCGAGTCCGGACCAGTCGCTTGTCTTGAAACGACTCGATTATCTCCCTCTAAGAACAAGTAATCGGGGCTGAAAACCAGCCGAAGGCTTCCAGATTATCGATGCTCTTGCGGCCGCCCTTTTTCAAAGCCGACACTTCCAAGATTTCGTGGTAAACACTTCAAATTTTTTCCTGTGTCCGTGCATGGCTCAGGCAAACTTCTACGTCAAAGGCCTTTACGGCAATCCTAACTCAGATTCTGCCTCATAAGAGGCAATAAGGGCTAGAAGCCGACCGAAAACCTCCCCAAATAACTGAATGCTGTTGCAGCCGTCTATTCGAAAAGAGACACTGACTTCAAAATCTTTGTGGTAAAAACTTCTCAACATGTCATTGCACAGGCAAACTTCTACATCAAAGGCCTTTACGGCGACCCGGACCAGCCCGTGCGAGCCTCTCCGTTGGCTCAGATGCTCAACCTGCGGGGCAACTCGGCGTTCGAGCACCCCGTGACTGGGATTATCATCTTCCAGAAGTGGAACATGTTCGGGCGGTCCGCCTTTCTCCGGAGCATGATGCTGGGTTGCGTCGCATTCCTGTTCCTCATTATGGGGTGAGCAGAACCTGAAACAAACCGCCTTCAAGTTGACACAGGAGTTTTTGGCTGTTAACCATGGATGGTTAGGGGCTGTTTGTGGCTGGTCAGAGACTGGTTATATGTCCAGCAACCAGACTCGCACCTGAATCAGCCCCGGATCAAGACAAGGTCAAGGCCGGGTTATTTGTTTAGTAACCTGAGACTCAGTCTAATAATCAGCCTGGTTAGAAGCCAAAACTTGCTGTGAGACCTTGCAGTTGAATATAAGTAAATGAACGTCTGATCTGCCAACGTTCGACTGGGACTCCTTTCGGGATGGATGGACAAACTCTAGTTGTCAACAGCGGGCGGTTTTTCGTCGACGCTAATGTCGAACTCTGCGGAGCCGGCCAAGCTCGTAGTTCAAAACCAAACACAAGGCTTGATCCCTTGAAATCCTGTAGATTGCATTGCCCTTGAAACAGAGTCCGTCCCCCCTCAGGTACATCGCGTTGCCTCGCCAGTTAGAGGGCCTCCCCTTCCGGGCCCTCTTCTGGGCATACGTGATCTCCGATATGATCTCAGAGATCCGGCGCTCTATAGCGGTCGGGTGCATCAAGGCCACCCTTATGGGCGTGACCGTGCTTCTGCCCGTGCACTTCCTATCGGTTATGCAATTCGTAAAGCTTATCATGACCTCGCTCGTGTTGGTCTCCATCGGGTTCGAGCACACGTGGAACAAGGGGGATGGGTGAGTGCCCGTGACATCAGCATCTGAGAGTTCAGCGGTTTGCGGGGACGCTGCGATAAGGATTATTATACCTCAATCCGCGATGGGCCCTTTTCTGAGAGTCACGATCTGGCACGCCGCGCCGATTCTGTTGGCCTCCGAACCCGTGAAAGGTAGCAACAGAAGGAACCCGAAGGCCCTCGATTGTAGGAAAGGAGCAGATTGTTGCACTTCTCTCGCGTCCCGTGAACCGTTGGATCCGCACGTAGAAAGAAGCCGCCGACGTTCGTGCTCACTTGTTTGCTAAAGCGAAAAAGCTACTTCGCATCGCCACATCTCAGTTACGAAATTGCCCCTGTAGAAGGGAATTTGAACCATGCGATGCTTGTATGTCGACCTTTTCGTCTCGAATCTTTGCCTTGCTGGCGGAACGCGCTTGCACTCGCCAAGACTCACAAAACTGCTCAAATCAGTGGCCTAAAAAGCAAAGCTATCCTGAAGCTCTGCTTCATGCGTTCCTTGTCTTTCTGCATCCGACACGTGTCAAGACATTTACCACGCGCATCTCCACTGCAGGGTCACGGAGAGCATCTTGATAGCCACCGCCACCATAGCGTATTGCTTCCAGATGCTCCATTATTACCTGGCGTCCAACGAGCTATCCTCCTTCGTCTTCACTCTGAGCCGGATGCTATACGACCTCGTCAAGTTCCTGGCCGTCTTTCTGCTCATATGGATCGGCTTCGCTCTCGCCTTCTACATCCTCTTGCGAACCCAACCCAAAGCGGACGGATCCACCGTCGACTTTACGGACGTCCACTGGTCATTCACCACTTTCTTCATCATGCTTTTCGGGTAAGCGTATTGATCAAACTCAACTTAACTTACATATATGGTAACCGCACTGGGACGGTGGGGTTACATTGGAGGCCATTAGGTGTGTAGGGGTGCGGAGCAGGTACTTCCCTGGGTTACGGTTCTTGTTAGCCTGAGCTTATAATCAGCTTATAGCGGAGTTGATTTCGGCGCCCACTCGAGCTTCCTGTTTGCACCTGTAAGTTGGAACAAGTGGTTCACGGTAAAGGTGGAGGCAGTGCGGGAAGAGAAAAAACTGGTATTTTCGGTTTTAAAGATCACGGTTTTAGGGTTTGGCTTTGGTTTGGCGACAAATCATAGACCGCAGGCATTGGTACATCTACTAACTTTGAGAAAAGGACAACCGGGTTTTCGTTCGAGAGTATCCTTGACCACTGTGAGCGTTTTGATCACAAAGCCTGTGCATTTCCGGCGAGACGTCTTCTGTCTGGTACAATTTGTAAAGAAACTCAGGAAGTAACTCACACAAAGCATTTTCACGTGCAGCTATGCGGAGTTTGAGTTTCGGCAGATCGAGGACCGGCGTCTACAGGGCGTGGCGATCGTGCTGTGGTTCATCTACCTGATGCTCGCAAACCTGCTTCTTCTGAACCTTCTGATCGCCCAGTTCTCGACCACTTATGAGGCGGTCTACAAGGCCAGCTATGCCGTTGCGCTGAGGAAGTGAGGTTTTTCTCCCTTTCCTAGTTTTCCGTAGCAGTACGTTTTTCTAAGTGCGATCATATGCATAATATCCCAGTAATTCTCGACCAATCATAAGGCTGCCTACAAGGGCCAGCTATCCTCTTGCGCTGAGGAAGGTTTTCTTCCCTTTCCTTGTTTTCGAATAGCGTTTACTCTCTCTATATCCTTGTCATAGTTTCCCGTGAACGTGAGTTTCTTCAAGCAGTCAACGTTTCCCCACCTTCTTACAACCTACGGAACAACCGTTTCCAAAAACAGCTGTGTCATTTGAGTGGAGGAAGTGAGCGCCATCCTAGTCCTTCGTAGGTGGAAGAGACGCTTCTAAAATCAATGTCTGCCGCTAGCTGACTTCCTTTCCTTTGCCTCTTGCGGATCCGCCGTCGATCGAACGGGGCCTGGGGCTCAGAGAACAAATTCCTCCAAAAATTCGCGTCTCGTCTGCAATCATCTCAACTAGGCGGCACTATATTGAGTTAACCAGCCAAACGGTGTGCTTTCTTGCTGTGGTTCTCCCCGGCCTCTTCGGTTGCCCAAAGCGAGTCGACTGAAAATCTTCGAGCGGATGCAGACTGCCGGCCGCAATGCTTGACATTTCTTCGTTCACCTCGACTTCTTAGCAATTTCTCCAGCCTCCACGTCATTCGGCTCTTTGAGTCGGCTGAGATTCAAGCGCACAGAGCGGAAATTTCTTTTCAACCACGCAGACTCGTTGACCAGGAATGCACCGAGTCAGGTCGGAGCCATGAGACTCCGTATGGGGATGACGTCTGCCCCGAGCAATTGCAATCGGCCGTTTCCCTGTGATCGATAACACAGATAGTCTTGGCGGTTTACCAGATTGCTTACCAGACTTGAGTCCCAGGTTACTGGACAACCGACCGGGCTCTAACCTTGTTCTGGGCTTGTTACCGCCCAAATCCGGTTAGGGACATGTAACTACTTCTTAACCAGTCCGTAGCCAGCCCATAAACATCCAGGATCAAGGGCCAACTTGTGCTACCTGACGTGGCTTCTTTTCCCGTAACGTGGCTTCTTCTTTGCAGGCTGTGCAACGAGCTTTTGGCGATTGAGGGGACTCTCTCAGTTGAGGAACGGCGGAAGCACTACAACAGGCTGAAGTTTGACGAGCCGCTGGAGTTTGACGAGTTCGACATGGGCCCGCCGGGGGGCATCCAGGTACATACGCTATGCCGCTGTGCTGATAAGTTCCTCGCATCCACCGCCTTATGAGGTGTTTGGGTTGGACGCTCGAGGCGTAAGCTTTGCCTGCTTTTTGTTTGACACAAAATGATACGCAGCCCCGGGTTCGCCTTTCATCAGCGTTTCTATCGTTTGTTACACCGGTTGGTTTTCGTCTTCGAATTGCTTCGAGGCACGCGCGTGCGTGGGAGGCCTTGCTAGAACGCATATCTCCCCGGCGAGGGGCTTGCTGACGTGTCGCCAAGCACCTGAGTTCGTCATGTGACGTCACGCAGCTGCTCCAAGATGTGGACCCCTCCGCCGACGACACTGACGACTCGGACCGCATCGAGCGATACCCCGGGAAAGCGAGCCCCGACTTGCCTTGGCCCCCGAGAGACTACGACGATGACTCGGTTGCGACCAACCGGGCAAACACGCATAACCCACCCGAAACGAGCAACGAACGTGGGCGCCCACAAGAAGAAAGAAACGTGGGCTCTGATGATAAGCGGTCCCCGATCCGGTTCTGGGACAACAATGGGCAGGCAGACCGGTTCCGGTCGGTTGTCGACGTGGCAGAGGGGTCGGCGCTTACCGACGCCGAGGCGTTTTACCGGGCGGGCGTGCTTCGTGCGAGGGGGGCAAAGGGCGGTGTCTCGCCGCAGAGGCGCGAGGCAAGTGTCGCCGTTGTGACCGCTTCGGAGCTAGCAAAGCACACCGGTCCTGCATCAAAGTGGCTGGCTATTGACGGAAAGGTGAGTGCCGAGTTGAGCTTGAAACAGCTTTTCCGCGAAGTCTTCGAGATCAGTTTGTGCGTGATGGGAAAGAAGGGCCACGTATGTAAAACCGGTTTTGGTTACTGCATCGGCAGGTGGCTCTGGAAAACATGTGAAACTTGTGGTCTTGTGGTGTACTCGGAGGGACGGAAGTAGTTTCTGCATTGAGAAAGTATTCATTGCCAGGATTACGAGGATCGAGCCTTGCTCGCTTTTGAAAACTTGGATTCTTTGCGTACTCTGCGCTGAAGGAAGGATTGAGCGGACAATTGACACTAAATTGTCTTGTCTGATAGTACCGGCTTGGAAATGGAAGATTTCTAGGGAGTGCTACGACAGACCAAGCTCAAATGCATAGCCACTTGAACTGAGCGTCTCGCAGAGTTAGTAAGTTCGACGTCGAGATGCGGCAGATCAGCCCAGACACTCAAGGCTGTGTTCGAGCGGTACAGAGAACCGCAGGAAGTTTCGGTTGCTTAACCAGGCTGATTAGAAGACTGGAGTCTCAGCTTATTAGACATGACAAAAAACCGGGCTTTAACCTCGTTCCAGGGCTGGCTAATACCGCCCAAATCCAATAATTGGACACTTGACCACTTTTAACCAGCCCATTAGCAGCCCATAACCAGCCACATGTGAATCTGCTTCTGCATTACAGGTTTACGACGTCACGCGTTTTGTAGACAGTCACCCCGGTGGTCCAATCATCACCTCAGCTCTGGGGCGGGACGCCACACGAGAGTTCGACGAATTTGGCCACAGCGCTTACGCCCGGAGTCTCCTAGAGCCTCTCAAGGTCGGACAACTTCTGGTCGAGTGAGATAGTCGCGTAACATGGATGTTACGTTTATTGGTCCTACTAATTGGAAACATAGTGGACCCGTTTGACAATTTTGACTTGGTGAGGGGGCCATTCAGTCCGCGGCCGCACGCAACCGCTAGACCGTACAAAACCGTCAAATGTCGCGGGTCACTGCTCCATTTCAGTGCTAGCCCAGTCTGACTGTTTTTTCTTAGTGAGGGCGCCAGCCAGCTTGCACCCGCAGCAGCTAGACAATACCGTCCCAAGTCAGTTTTTCCTCCATCAAGGTCAAGGTGCAAAAGCATACCATATTGCATACCATATTGCATACCATATTGCATGGGCTTGGGAGCCCGCACAAACAAGTCAAAATTAGATTTGCCGCAAATGGGTCACTTTCGGCGTCTACCAAAATAGGTTTGATCTGTCAGCTTACGAGCTAGTGACCGAACATCCATCTTGATCACGGTACATTTCAGGATACAGTCAAAGTCCCGGACTCAACAATAGTGTCGATCGGATCAGCAGCGAAGTGAAGCCTGGCCGGCCCTCTGGATCTGCCCTTTTACATGCAATATTAATGATCGATGTGACGATATATAACCTACTACCGGCGTTCGGTTTTAGTGACTTAGTGCGCAACTTGGCAACGGTGCCTTGGGGTAGCTAATCGAACGGATATATTGACACGGAAGTTGTTCGCCATCGCACGCGGCCGCCGCAGCTTCAAGCACGACGGTTTAAGCTTTTGATTTGCATCACAGCATGCCAATGATGTCGTCTATACGCGCTGCGACGGTATGTAGTGCGCTTCATCTGCTTGAGTGCTGAGTTCAGACAAACCATTGAATACGCCCAACCGTTGGGCCGGCGCGTATTCAATGGTTTGTCTGAAATTGTTGAACAGCTCCGCGACTCCTGATGATTGATGCGCCGGGCCCAAATTCATGCATGACACCTCCCATGCATGCCGCGTATATAGGATGTACGTACTCACAAGCTTCTACTGTACGTAGTAGGTGCCGGCATGCGCATGTTTGAACATCTCAAGTTATAGAAATCGAATTAAGGACATTAGGATTCACAAGAGCGCTCAGCTGGCACCATAAACGCTAGCAACAGTCACTAAGTTATTGTGCAGGCTGTGGGAGACGGTCGGTCCGGTCCGATCGTCTTCAAGCCTTCGAATCGCAAGACTGATGACAACCAAACGGACAATCATCAGTATCGAACACAGAGCATGCACCCTCGAACTTCGGAAGTCACTTGACCACAGTAATCAGGAAGCATCGTTGTGCAGTGCCGCGCGCAGCTTCCAACGTGTGAAACCGTTTGCCCCGAACTGAAAGCTACTGGTTGAACCTAGTGCTTGTCGACCGGTAACAAGCCTCTTATGATTAGCCCACCTCTGCTCAATTGGTTCACATTTCTCAAGTTCTAGGCCTGTGATTTAACAACAACAGGAAGTCAAATGCAAGCCACCATAGTAAATAATCACGTGAATCGCTTTTGACGATTTTATTGTTTCTCGCTAACTGTGGAGCCGTGCATCAATAGACTCGCCCGCTGGGTCCCTCTTCGAGTCTACGATTTCTGGTTGCAAAGCTCACTTCGGATCGTGAGATATTTATAACAGGGGACCTCCCTCGGACAGCATGCGTGGGAACCATTCTACACGCAAAAGCGCTGGTTGATTCCGAGTTGCGACACAATCTTCTCGCGCATGATACCACCTTATTTCCCGTACCTGTCATGTGAACCTCAGATAAGTGGGCAGCAAATAGATCTACCCAGCTCGTTGAATACTTCTCCATATTGAAAACGACCAACGAAACGTTCACGGGAACAGGTCTTGCGTTGCCGGAGACTCGTTGCCCCAACGGAGCCGCGAACGTCCGATGTCGGAGGGCGCGGGCGAAGGGGACCCGCTCTTGCCGCCAAATCTCGTCAACCCCAGTTCTACCGGTCCGAATACAAACTGCAAACCAGAATTGCGGGGGTTCTGTTAGACGTAGACTGTTTGGGAAGAATCATTTGGCTGCAGGAATGAGTGCGGGGCTGCCCCCTTCTCCCCTTTTTCAATGAGCTGGTGACCCTTGCACACCTGTCCTTCCAGCAATCCCCGCAACCCTTGCCCCGCTTCTTGTGGAGCTCGTTTCTGTGTGAACTGGAAAAGCTGAGATTCACGTTTGCAATTTACTGTCAGGGCTAGAAGAGGATCTTAACCAAGAAAAGTGAGACATAGGATCTTAACCAAGAAAAGTGAGACATAGGATCTTAACCAAGAAAAGTGAGACATAGGATCTTAACCAAGAAAAGTGAGACATAGGATCTTAACCAAGAAAAGTGAGACATAGGATCTT